ACATTGACTTAAATTGAAAATTTCATATATCAGTGTCTGAATGTAGTTGTGTTGAATGACTTCCAACACAGAAATAGGAGAACCAAGCCTCTTAGAAATTGAGCAGTGGAGGTTCAGTGGAGTGTCTGGGTTATGTTGTTGAAGACTGATGGATTTTCCTGCCTCAGGAGTTAATGAAGCACCAGGGCCCCTGTCCCTGTCAGTCGTCTCAGGTGCCATCCTTACCATTGAGAGCAGGGCACAGCTTAATCTTTTATTCTCTTCCTTCACTTGATGCACACAGACTCGCCATTTATTTCCCTTCAGACAACAAACTGTGTTTCTGTCTGTCCCATGTCCTTTCTTTCTTAGGGGAAGCACAGGCCTTTTGCCTTCTTCCTGACCAAGGCCAATTCTTCTGTTCTTAAACCCATCCCTTCCATCTTTGATCAGTTATTCTCCCTTTTGTGATATCTTTGGTGTTTTGTCCTTCACTAGCTTCTTCACCTAGGCCTGGAGTAAATTAGTGACTTCAGAAGACTTTCATAAAAATATAAAAATATGTTCTATTTTTCAAAAACAGAATTCACGATCAGTTAGAATGAATCAATATATCCTTACTATTTTACTGTAGGATCTGCTGAGTCCAATGTAGCCTTTGGAAACCCTGAGATGATTCTGACTAGTCTAAACTTGTCTTCTTTTCTCTTGCTATTTTTAGGCCCGGCTGTGGTCCCTCACCAGTATTATGGAGTCACTCCCTGGGGAGTCTACCCTGCCAGTCTTTTCCAGCAGCAAGCGGCTGCCGCCGCGGCAGCAACTAATTCTGCGAATCAGCAGACTACCCCACAGGCTCAGCAAGGGCAGCAGCAGGTAAATGTAAACAGAATTTACCCCCTCTAAGTGTGAATTTTAGTAATCGTGTATCATTAAAAGGTAATGCTGCTCCTGATAGAGAAATGGTGTGGATCGGTGAGTTTCCTCTGTGTGTTACCTGAGTTCAGGCTGAGACTCAACGGGGCTTACCGAATGCCTTTTATGATCAGGTTCTTGGTTTGCATACCTAGGTAAGATCATGAGATTGTGTAGGGGCAAAGCACATAGAGGATCATCCACTTAAGGGTACATGGTTAGCACGTGGCAAACGAGTACTCATACTGCTAATAAGAGCTACTTTTCTGCCATAACTACGGAATGCCGTCCAAACACTCTGCCTCTCCCGCAGGCAGCTTGCCACGGACGGGGAGGCTCGTTCTCCAGACTGCTTATTGACAACATCAGCTGAACTGGATATAAATCTTTAAGCCTATTATGTCTGTTTTAACTTAGAGTAAATAAGAGCTTTTTAATGAGTTGGGAAAGAATAATGAACTACAAAACTAAGTATGCCCTTTTATTTTGAATAGGCCATTTTCTCCTTCTTACTAGAAAAATACCTGTTTATTGCTGAAAATTGTGGTGAATTGGAAAACTCAAAGGAAAGAAATCCTCATGTCAGGATAAAACAAAATTAATGGGTGGTATTTGTCATTCTAGCTTTATTATTCAGTTTCTGATAAAATCGGGGTTATGCTGTCCGCATGGTTTTGAGTTTCTACAGTTTTTACAGTTTTCCATGTTGTTTAGTGCTTTTTAGAAATAGTAGCTATCTTTAAATCTGTCAGAGTATCCCATATTTTATTGTCACCAGCTTACTATTATTTGATATTTAATTTAGCAATATTTTGATGTTATAAATGACTGATAGCCTTTGCATAAATGTATGATTATTTCCATGGAATAAATTCCTAGAAGTGGCGTTTTTTTCAGGCAAATAAAATGAACATTTAGGCTTTGGTACACATTGTCAAATTAAAGAGGCAAGACACCATGCTCGTCTATGTACTTGTGACATGATGCAAACAAGAACACTTTGGTTTTTACTAGTCCCACTAAGAGAGTGTATGTTTAATTTTTTAGATTCTGCAAAATTATAGAAAAAACACAGGTCTTGAAATTCTAGCCAATTTATTCTTGGTCAGTAATTTTGTAGTAGGATAAATTTTTGGAAGCTAATGCATGATTTTCTTTGCAGTAGATACAACTCTTGTCCCAGGTATGTAAGGGAATTCAGCAGATAATTGTTGACATAATGGGTGATCCTTGTGAATATATTTAATACCTTACTCTTTGTGATAGTCAGTATTTAGTTGTGTGATGATCTTTGTGTTTAAATGGCTGCCCAGTGTGGATTTGGTAGACAGAGTAATTGCTGTGTTTTTAAAGTTAGTTCTGCTAGAGTGCACAAGAAAAATAGTAAATACTTCTTGTTTAAAGCTAAGTGCTCTACCTATAATTTCTTTTATATTTTCTAATTCTGATAAATTATATGACTTACCTTCATAAGATTTGAGGAAGTGGAATTTGTGTGCCCAGGGTCACACAGATACTAAATTGTTAAGATTTGAACACAAATCTATCATTTCACAACTTGTGTTATTTTCTGACCATATTGTGATGTTTGGAGTTACAGAAAACTGGAGATTTGGTCTTTGTTCTATTACTTACTGGTTTTGCACCTAGGGGTGTGTTGCATGAATATAGAGAACTTCTGAATATAGAGAAGGTATATCCTTAGCTGTAAAATGGGCACTGTAATCCTTTGCATTTCAGGGTTTTCTGTCATCCACTGTTACAGAGCCCACTCAGAAAAGGTTACTGGCATTTCTTTTTAATAAGCAGCCATATTTTAGTTCCAGTGTTGTTTTTGTCAGTTTTTGGTTTCAGTTGTTTTAGGAAAATACGATTTTCTTGGTGAACTCCTTTGTCATAGTCATTGAAATGAGAGGCCCTCTTTAAAAAAAAGTTTGCTTTTTACCTTTTTGGCCTTGACATTTTTTCAGAAAACAGAACATTTGTTATGTTCTAGGCATGGTAACTGTTCCACACCTAATTGCTGGAACTTTGAGCACAGTCAGTGATGTTCCAGGCACTCCATCTTACTTCTGATTCCTTTTCATCCTTTTTGTGAAGGTTCCTTTGACATCTGACAAAAATTTTGTTCTTTCCTATTTCAAAATGTTTGCTAAAGAGAAACTCCTTGGGTGCTGGGTTGAAGCCAAGCACACGTTGGCATGCTTGGTGGTGATTTGGTGTTAGATAAGGCATTTTGAGAGAGAAGCGTTTAGAATGGCTTCTGAACTTTCTAGATTGGGGGAAGACTGTGTAGATGATAATTCTACTGAGCATGGTGAACTATAGAAGGGTGAATGATTATTAATTAAAATACCCCATTGACAAATTTTAACATGACTGTCAGTGTCAATTTCCTGCCTTGTAGAATCTAGCTTCTATGCTGTGAGGAAGCACAGTAGCCCATGTGGAGAAGAACTGAGGCCTGTGAGCCATAGGCCCAGCTAAACTTCCATGAACCAGAACCAATAGTCAGCTCTATGAGTGACCTCTCAGCCATCCTAGCAGGATGGCATATTATGCAATAAAAGGTATCCAAGACGGGATTGTTTTTAAAAGGTTTCTTTGTTTGTTCATCTAATATTTTTTTTTTCCCACAAGCATACATTCACTAAATTTGTAAGTAAATTTGTAAGTACTTTGAGGCAAGGACCTTGTCATGCTTCCATTAGTATTCCTAGAGTTCGCCCATGCTTACACCTAAAAGTTACTAAAACTATTAAAAGAATGAGTGAATGAGTATTTAACCTGCAATCAGAAGGAAAAAATAAATAGGGTGCTAAAAAATAAATAAAATTAAGTCCTCGGTTAAAAAAAAAAATCCCCATTGAGCATCTACTTGCATATTAAGTATTGGTAGATCTCAAAAGCTGTGTATGTAGATCAGTAACCTTTGAAAAGAAATTTGAATTTAACAGCTTTTGCACTGTAAAGGTCGATAGTAAGCAGACTCCGAGAATAGTGTTTTACACAGATCTTCAGTCATTTTTGTTGATTTTATTCGATGTTAAACTGTTACTTGTAAAATTTTACATATCTGTTTCCATAAAATCCAGACTTGAAAAAAAAAAATCCAGACTTGATAGCTGTTGATGAAATTAAAATACACGAATACTGGCAGCTGACTTAAGAACGTTGATTAATCATCAGGGTCCCACACAAGATTTCTAGACAGTGGACAAAAAGGAAACCTGCTGCTCTTCTCATTAAAACTGGGTTCAGTTGTCTGGACTACCTCTTTCTTCAGGCACCTTGTCCCTTCGCCTGTCCCCCACCCTTTTACACAACTCCTAACCATACATAAACCTGGTTCACAATGCCCTATGGAAATGATGCTTTCAATGATGTTTTATTCGTACTTGAACTGTTAGTATTTGCCATGTGTCTGTACACGCTGTTTACTTTATTCCTAGAGTGAGAGCTCTTCTGGGTCATTGGTTAGGCATTTCTAAGTCTTGGTGCAAACACTCAACTGGGCAGCCTCCCTTGACTCTTCTGTCGATGTGAATTGAAGCACTCCTTCTCTTTTAAAGTCCATTAGATTCTTTAGGTCACAAACAAATAAATATTTTGATAGTAATAAGCTATTGGTTATTGATTGTCTCCTGGGTACCAGGTATTGTTCCTTGCAGACATTAATTCTAATATTCCCAACAGATCTGCAAGATCAGCCATTACTCATTACTTTTTTTTTTTTTTTTTTTGGTGGGGAGAGTATACTTTATTGATGGTACATGACAAGGTAGGGCTCCCCAAGCCCCTCCCCTTCTTCAAGGGGTCTGAGATGGAAACGGTGGAGGTTGGGAGATTTCTCAGTGTTTTGGGGGATAAGTTGGGGCAGGGACTCCCCAGCCCCTGAGGGCCTCTCTTCCTCTTGCTCTCGCTGGGGCTGGTGGTCCAGGGGGCTCTTACTCCTTGGAGACCCTGTGGACCATAAGGTCCACCGTCCAGTTGCTGTAGCCAAATTCATTGTCATACCAGGAAATGAGCTTGACAAAGTGGTTGTTGAGAGCAATGCCAGCCCCAGCATCGAAGGTGGAGGAGTGGGTGTCACTGTTAAAGTTGCAGGAGACAACCTTGTCCTCAGTGTACCCCAGGATGCCCTTGAGGGGGCCGTTTGACACCTGCTTCACCACCTTCTTGATGTTGTCATATTTGTCAGCTTTCTCCAGGCGGCAGGTCAGATCCACGACAGACACGTTGGGGGTGGGGACACGGAAGGCCATGCCACTGAGCTTCCCGTTCAGCTCAGGGATGACCTTGCCTACAGCCTTGGCAGCACCAGTGGAAGCAGGGATGATGTTCTGGGCAGCCCCTCGGCCGTTGCGCCACAGCTTCCCAGAGGGGCCGTCCATGGTCTTCTGGGTGGCAGTGATGGCATGGACAGTGGTCATGAGTCCCTCCACGATGCCTAGGTTTGTCATGGATGACCTTGGCCAGAGGAGCCGAGCAGTTAGTGGTGCAGGAGGCATTGCTCACAATCTTGAGGGAATTGTCATACTTCTCGTGGTTCACACCCATCACGAACATGGGGGCATCGGCAGAGGGAGCAGAGATGATGACCCTCTTGGCCCCGCCCTTCAAGTGAGCCCCAGCCTTCTCCATGGTGGTGAAGGACCCCAGTGGACTCCACAACATACTCAGCACCAGCATCACCCCATTTGATGTTGGCGGGATCTCGCTCCTGGAAGATGGAGATGGACTTTCCATTGATGACAAGCTTTCCGTTCTCAGCCTTGACTGTGCCATGGAATTTGCCATGGGTGGAATCATACTGGAACATGTAGACCATGGAGTTGAGGTCAATGAAGGGGTCACTGATGGCGACAATATCTACTTTGCCAGAGTTAAAAGCAGCCCTGGTGACCAGGCGCCCAATACGGCCAAATCCGTTCACTCCGACCTTCACCGTTGTGTCTCAGGGACGCGGCTGGCACTGCACCAGAAGATACGGCTGTCTGTCAAACGGGGAGGAGCAGAGAGCTTACTCTCACTACTTTTACAGATAAGGAAATAAGAGACTTGTAGTCAACCAAGTGTCTACACGACTCTTCTTTCCAGTACGGATGGTGTTTCCCTTATGCTCCTTTAATAAATAGTTGAGTGTTAGTGGTGTTTCTCTTTTACATTTTTTACCAAATGGTACCAAGAATAATCTGTACCCAGGTTCCTGATCCTATGTCTAACTTTTATAAAGAGCAGAGTGATCGTGAAAGTGATCTGATAAGAACTTTCTTTGCCTTTGAAAACATGCAAAACACGTCTTACAGTTTTAGCTGTGGTCTGTGGGTTTTGCATTTTTACTTGCTGGAGTATATAGATCATGTGGAGTAGATTTTTCAGAGCATTCAGGATAAGAATGATTACCACCATTTTGATACCCGTATTTCATTCATAAAAAGTGGATCCTTTAGCACAGTGACAGAACTGGTCTTCTGTACTGAAAAAGGCAGTGTTCTTGACACTCATCTCCATTTAGATTGCGGTCTGTTGTGGAATTTATGAGAGGAGGAATAGAAACAGGTCAGGAGCCTCCTAAATCAAATCTGGTGAGCTCATTTGGGGCCATTTGGCCCTTGTTGAATGGGAATAGTGTTATAAGGCAGAGACGGTCCTCTTATATTCCATAAAGAAAATACAGACTTTTGGTGGTTTTTTTTTTTCCCCTTTAGACACAGATACTTTAATCTGTGTTGGGTAGATTACCCCTGTTCATCCTATCTAAACTCCCCTCCCCACTCCATCAGACTCCTCCACCCAGTTTTTGTCAGAGCACTGATATTTTATAGAGTTGCCATTTATTGTCTGTCTCATTCACTAGAATAAAAGCTTCAAGAGGGCAGGGGCTCTGTCTTGTTCATTGCTTTATCTCTAGTACCTGCCAGGTGATAGTCATTATGTATTTGATTAATGAATCATCATTTTTTTAATGCTTTTTCCTGCTTATAAAGGTATAATAATGTTTAAGAATGGTAGAATGAGATTTCACTAAATGAGATGTTGCTAATTGAATTTTTATCTTAATAGCAATGCCATATAAAACATTATAGGAAAAACAGTTAAAACTATCAGTTTTTAAAAAGTTGGCCCAAATTAAGCACACGGTGGGTCTTAGTTATTTTCAGTGACAAGAAAATAGTTGACTTACTTCTGTCTCCCAGGTTCTCCGTGGAGGAGCCAGCCAGCGTCCTTTGACCCCAAATCAGAACCAGCAGGGACAGCAAACAGATCCGCTAGTGGCAGCTGCAGCAGTGAATTCTGCCCTTGCTTTTGGACAAGGACTGGCTGCAGGCATGCCAGGTGAGGCTGCATTGTTGTTTATAATACTTGGAGGGAAAAATAGTCTGCTTGTTGGGGGAGATTGAGAGGAGAACAGGCAATGCTTTAAGCTTGTGTTGGCTTGTCATTATTTGGGCACTGGCAAGGATGACATACACTTGCCTTCACTTAGACCGTAGTTTGCTGATGAGAGCACCTAGTTGTTCTGAGCCCGTCTTCATCTTACGTACCTCCTCATGCATTGCTTAGAGTATGCTGTATTCCTTTGTGATGATCTGTTCTCTCCCTTAGGATTAGGGAGAATAGAAGGAGTGGGCAGGCTACTTAGCATCACTCCAGGGCCTTAGCCTTCATGCTGATGTCTCTGAACAGTATTATTCGGAAGTTCCTAGTGTTCCTTGATGGGGCGATCCCTCACGTTTCTGGGATTTCTCCAAAGCCAACAGGAGAGGTGCTTTATAGCTGCCTGCCCGTGATTAATATTTATCTTGAATATATGTTATTCTTGGCTCACTGTCACCTGGTCCTATTCTTTGCATGGGTTGGAAGTAATTTGTGCTTCTTCCTTTGAAACAGGTCCTTGTAAGACCTCAGCATAAATGTGTGGGTTCTTACTGATCGTGGAGTATAGCCCAATTAATTGATCTATTTATGAATTCGCTGAGTAACTTTAACATGTATCATTTGTTATATTAGTTATTAAGCATTCAGGTTTTATTGGGAAGTCTGCTGTAATTTCTCCTATTATTCAGTAGGATTTGGAGATTCCATCTCATATGGTGATGTGAAAGATCTTATTATTTGAAGTGTGTCTAGGTTTTACCTGCTAACTTGCAGGATATTTGTGCTTAACACTGTTACGAGGTATGAAAGTACTGTAATTGTTGTAATCATTTGTACCCTCCATTACTTCTCTAGTCAAAAGACATAAAATATTGTCAGTGTATGATTTCTGGTGATAACCTTGGTTAGCACTTTGAAGAGCACAGGTGTTCCCTATCCCGCCGAGTTCCCTTTCTTTTATTTATTTTTTTAAAAGATTTTATTTATTTGTCAGAGAGAGAGAAAGCACAAGCAGGAGGAGTGGCAGGCAGAGGGAGAAGCAGGTTCCCTGCTGAGCAAGGAGCCCGATGCGGGGCTCAGTCCCAGGACCCTTGGGATCATGACCTGAGCCGAAGGCAGACACTTAACCGACTGAGCCACCCGGGTGTCCCCTCGAGTTCCCTTTCTAACACTTAGTGGGTGGTAAATAATACTGCCCCCTGTTGTGCCAGATATCATGCTAGATCTGTCACAGTCATCCTTTAATTGTCACAGTAACTTTATGAGGCAGGTATTATTATCCTCATTGAAGAAATAGATGCTCAGAGATGCAGGGTCATATAGCTATCTAGGTGGTGAAGCCAGGAGAGACATCTACGTCTGTCTGTCCCCACAGCTGAGAGTCTGTGACTGTTGATAATATGCGACTACCCAGGAAACACTGTTAGTTTCATATATACTTGTATGTGGCTTAATATTCCCAGGTTACCCAGTCTTGGCTCCTGCTGCTTACTATGACCAAACGGGCGCCCTTGTGGTGAATGCAGGAGCGAGAAATGGTCTTGGAGCTCCCGTTCGGCTTGTAGCTCCTGCCCCAGTCATCATCAGTTCCTCGGCCGCGCAAGCAGGTGAGCTTCTGTCTTCGTGAACTCCTGTCAGCAGTCCAAAAGGGGCGATGGATGATGTTCTTACAATATGTTGAAATGTACTTTATTTGACAGTTCTCAATATAGCAATTCTGCCCTGTAATATTTCAAAGAGAAAATCAGAAGCAGCAAGTGACCTCGATAGATTCTGTTGACAGCCATGTACCAGCTGGTTAGCAGCAAGGACCTGCTCCACCGTGAACATAGGAAGTTGGATTACTCACACAAAATGGCACCGTTGGCAGAAGTCCAAGGCTAATTTCACAGAAATCCTTGACATTATTTTAAGATAATATTTTTTTTTTTTTTTGGCGGGGGTGTTTTTTGTGTTTCGGAGGGAGGTGGGATGGAGGGAGTAGTGAGAAGTGACAGAGCAGTGTATTTTGATGGGGGGCAGAATAAGTTTTTGTTTTAAGCTTTATATCTGTGTGTATATATATATTAGGAATATAGATTAGGAACAATAGTGGGAACATCTAGAAGAGAGCAATATGTTCAGGAATTTGAGGGGCTTGTGTATATTGCCAACAGTGGTTCTGGAAAAGTCCTCAACATTGGTATTTGTGGAACTTGAGATTTTAGGAAGTAGTCGTATTTAAAATGGCTACATTTGACATCTGTACCTATTTTAAACGGCAGACTCTTTAAAGCTGCCACCGTAGCGAATTTGGCTTCCATGGTATTTTGACTTCAAATTGGAAGCAGAAGTAGAAAAGAGAAGCCTCAGATGGAGGGCTCAGAGGCAGATTCGTGTAGTTCTTTACAAAGCTCGTGTCTGCTTTGCGAAGCTGGGAGCGTGTGACAGCGTTTCTGGAAGCCTGGGAGCGCGCGACAGCGTTTCTGGAAGGCTGGCGCCGAGGCCGGGGTGCGCGGCCGGCGCCTTTCCCGGCCCAATGCTTTGCTTTCTTCCTCGTAGCTGTTGCGGCGGCCGCAGCTTCAGCAAATGGAGCAGCCGGTGGTCTTGCTGGAACAACAAATGGACCATTTCGCCCTTTAGGAACCCAGCAGCCCCAGCCCCAGCCCCAGCAGCAGCCCAGTAACAGCCTGGCATCCAGCTCTTTCTATGGCAACAACTCTCTGAGCAGCAATTCACAGAGCAGCTCCCTCTTCTCCCAGGGCTCTGCCCAGCCTGCCAACACATCCTTGGGATTCGGAAGTAGCAGTTCTCTCGGCGCCACCCTGGGATCAGCCCTCGGAGGGTTTGGAACGGCAGGTAGAAATCCGACTTAAGTGCTGTTAAAACTGAATTTTTGTTGTTTTTGCAATCTTTGTGGAACACTGATGATGCATGGAACCCTGGACAGATAGCCCAGGCAGATCTGGACCGAGCCCCGTGGGAATTCGGCCGTCCCACAAAGCTTTGAGATGACGGACTGTTAAAATCAAGTTTTACAGTTGGGGCTGATTTCAGGTCTATGCTCATATTGCTGCTTATTTATACTCTCATGGTTGATTTGTTTCAGGGATCAGAAAACCGGGGGGGCGGTTTTTGCAGGCATTGGGAAGAACGTGGAGGGAAGTGTAGAAATGTGAATGTTAAAAACCGAGGGAGGAGGACTGACCAAAGACGACAGGGTAGTGTACCCCTCAGTCTGCAGGCCTTACAGAGTCAGGAGTTTGCTCCAGTCTTTTGAGAAGAATTAAGGTGGATATTACGGAAAAGTGGGAAGAAGGACATTAGACCGAGATATTTTTAATGTTTTTTTGATGGGAGGATAAAGCAGGAAAGTAGTTAGGAAAACAGTGGGATAATTGCAGTGTTTGTAAAACAATGTGATCTCAGAACAGAAGGGCATGTTTGAGAGAGAGAATCTTAGATTGGAATTGGGAGCTAGCAATAACTCTTGATTGACTGAACCCATTGAGAAGATAGGCTTTCACATGTAAGTCTTGTGTAGTGGGGAAATACCCCATTTACAAATCTTTTTTCTGTATTCCATTTTTCTATTAGAACCTTTGGGTTGATGAAAGGCATTCTTTCTAGCCCATTTTCTTTCACCTTTTCCATAGCTTATGTGGCCGTCCGAGCTTTTTACCCCATCCCCACCCCATAATATGTGACACCAAAGGAAGGTAAATTTAGCATTCGTGTGATGGTTTGAACAAAAGCTTCATGTTAACCTGAGCCATGTCCTCTTCATTACTTTACCTGCCCCTTAGAACTGCCACATGAACAGTTAGGCTGTCTCTGCTGACAAATTTGCGGTGGTAAGGAGTCTGGATCAAAGTGTTAGGACAGGTCACTGGGCTTGTTCTTCAAAGAACAGGCCTTTTCTTATCTGCATTGTTTTAATTCCATTTTAGTTGCAAACTCCAACACTGGCAGTGGCTCCCGCCGTGACTCCCTGACTGGCAGCAGTGACCTTTATAAGAGGACATCGAGCAGCTTGACCCCCATTGGACACAGTTTTTATAACGGCCTTAGCTTTTCCTCCTCTCCTGGACCCGTGGGCATGCCTCTCCCTAGTCAGGGACCAGGACATTCACAGACACCACCTCCTTCCCTCTCTTCACATGGATCCTCTTCAAGCTTAAACCTGGGTAAGAACCATTACTCTAACACCACCTTGAACTCTAGAAATCTCTTGCCACTGATGACATTACAAGTACTTTGCGTAAGCAAAGGACAATCCCTTTATCCCAGGAGTGTCCTGGGTGTTCTGTGCCTTCCTTAAGTGCCTCATGTTATTTAGGCTGTACCTAGAGAGCATAGCAGTTTTGGATTTATTCAAGTTTGGGTGCATCCCCTATATATTCACTTCAGCTTCAGTCTGAACATCTTGTTCTTTGGCTACACATGGGAGTCTTTCATTATAAATCCAGTACAGATTCATTTTCAGGAAAGCTGGAAAACACAGAGACATAGACAAAGAATGTGTTCATTTAGTGTCACCACCGAAATATCACAATTAATATTTTGCCTTATTTTTCAGGCTCCCTCCCCACCCCCATATACGCTTAATATCTTACTCTTCCACATAAAAACGTTTTATTTGAAAAAATTACCAGATTCTTAATTTTTTTTTTTTTGGTATAAACTACCTAGTATGCTAATGAGTATAGATGTGTATTTCTCAACTGTATGTTTAGGTTGTTGTTATGTATGGGGATTTTAAAAATGTTACCATCTAGATCCTAAAATGAGGAAGGAAAAGAGGATTGTAAATAGCAGGCCGTAAGGATGAGAAGAAACTTACGTTAATACTTCGGGTGGCAAATTCCTAAGTCTTTCAAGAGGTGGAAGGTGGTGCATACTTCCTTTCCTCAGATACTGAGTTTGCGATTTGAAGTGCTGATTTATTTCTTAGATGAGGAAAGTTGAGGCGTTGAAGTAGAGTGACCATACAACTTATGGTGCAAGGTAGGACACATTTGAGAGTAGATGGGGGTACTGTTAACAATGAACTCTGTGATGACAGACCTAAGCTGTCCTAGGAAAAGTCATCATGTATGGCCACTTTCCCCAGAAGATTATGTTTGGTTTTTATTTTTAATCCTCTGTTTACTTATTTTTTTTAGAGCAGTTTTAGCTTCATAGCAGATTTGAGGGAAAGTACAGAGATTACTCCTGTACCCTCTGCCCAGCGCATGAGCAGATTTTTCTAGTAGCAACACCCCCAACCAGAGCGGTACCTTTTACAGTTGATGAACCGACACTGACACATAATTATCTTTCAGAGCTCATAGTTTACATGGGCTCTCTTCAGTTTTTAACCAGCAAGATTATAAGTGGCTAATGGGCTCCAAGATGAGGACTGACTAAATGCGAATAGTATGCTTTCATTTGGAAAGACAAAGAGTGGGAAGTGATTTATAAAAGTCAAAGAAGTCCTGAAGGGGATAGGATAATAGAGGCCTTATTCTAGGACCAAGAATGCTATCTCTGAGTTGGAGAGGTGGTTTTTAAGGCAAAAATATGTCCCTATGTTTGTACATACACATTTGTGTGAGTGTGTGTGTATCCTGAAATCTCACTCGGTCAGAGCTGTCCTTGTGGAACTCATTGTCTCAGGTTATATATGGACGTTACTTTAGAGAAGTTGTCAGGCCATTCTAGATTGGTAAATCCGTGGACAGATAAGGCAATGGGGGGTACATTGCACAACAGTGTTTCCTAGTGACAGAATGCTTGGCTTTAAAGACTGAGGGTTAATACAAATTGTAAGGGGTAAACGAAAGTCCCAGTTTAGTGTGTGGATGGAAGGAGCTAATACTTACTGAGTAGTTATTATCTGCTACTATTAATGGTTTTGAGTGCTGTACATATAACTCTGGCAGGTGTAGGTATTTTGCCCATGGTACAGAAGTGAGGAAATTGCCTGAAATATCTTGCCGAGGTCTTCTCATTATCTGAAGAGATTTAGCATCAGATGTGTTTGGCTCCAAAGCCCACACCATCATTGTATGTCCTGTCACGTGATATGCCCAGGGTATCTTTTAAACTGGTGCATTATCAAATCCAGAAGTCTTCCCTTTTAATTCCTTGATTTAAACATTTGAACTATGTCAGCTCATACTGACGTTCATAGTAAACCAACTAAATCTTGCAAACTTTTTTTGGGCGGGGGGTGGTCCAAGAGCCAGGTCGTAAATTTTTTAGGCTTGCAGGTCAGATGGTCTCTGTAGTAAGTATTCAGTTCTGCTGTGAAGTACAGAAGCGGTCACAGACAAAATGTAAATGGACGTGTAGCTATCATGCAGTCAAACTTTATTTCCAAAAATAGGTGACAGGCCAAATTTGTCCTGTGGGCTGTTTGTCAGCCCCTGAACTAGATGCTGTGGCTCTTGGGGTTTGAAAATGGAGGTGGAATCAGTACTTGCATGCATGGTACCTTTCCTCTTCCCAGTGGATCAACATGGTCATGAAGTATACTTCCTTCTTCATTCCTGTTTCCCCTGTGAAGGAGGAAATGACTGTTGGGGCAAGTGATTTCTCATTTTAATGACTCTTGCTGTCTGCCTGGTTTTCTTTCTGACATATCTTCTCTTTTAGAAACAATTGAACTCATTTAAGCAATTTAGTTGCCTGTGTTTGCATGGGACTTCCATGGCTGCGGGTACTGTGAGAGTCAGACATGTCATTCCTCAGGAACCCTGTGTCTTGATCAGTAGAGCTTTGCCTTCGCTCAGTCTGTTTCCTTGACAGAAGGGTTCTTGTGTGCTTTAGTCTTAACCTAGAGAAAATAGAGGTATGGGAATTGGTTTCTAACAGTGTTTGTGTAGAGGTCCTGAAGCCATTTTTGGTGCAGGAAACTTAACATTCTTTGCCAGATATATATTGGGCCACACCTGATACGGTTTCTGCTGCTAATAATGCTGTGCTGCTGACCCCGGCCATTAGTTCTCAGACCAGGAGCCGTGCTGTGCGCGCATTTGTTGTGTTCAGTTCTCACGTAACTCTGTCCTACAGGGAAACTTAAACTCAGCATGGTCTGGTGCCTTTCGTAATAAGACACAGCTAGCAAGTATTCGAACGTACATACCAGCCTGTAGATCTCTCTTGTTTTCCCAGTGTGGATCTTTTCTCCATCATATGATTTTCATACTTCTTCCCCGAAGTCACACATGTGTTAGGATACTCTCCAAATGATCACTGACCTGCTTAGTTAGCTTAGTTTTTTTTCCCCCCTTATTATTTATTCAACAGTGACTTTTTGGTGTCTCATTATTTATTCAATAATCACTTGTTGGTGCCTGCGTAAGACTTTTAAATGTTTTCTCCATTAGCAGTTGTTTAAAGACCCAAATTCTTTTTTTTAAAGAAAAACTTTATTGAGTTATATTTTACATATAAAATTTACCCATTTCAGGCTTACAGTTCAGTGATTTTTAGTAACTTTCCGAATTGTACAACCATCACCATAAATCAGTTTTAGAATATTTTCATCCCCTCGGTAAGATTTCTCAAGACCAATTACAGTTAATCTGCATTCACACCTTTAGCCCCAGTCAGCCACTGATCTACTTTGTTTTTAAATTTGCATTTTCTGAACATTTCATATGAATGGAACCATACAATATGTGATCTCTTCTGTTTGGCTTCTTTCCCTTCTCATGGTGTCCCCCGTCCCCCCCAGCCCCACCCCCCACCGCATTTGCACGTTTTTGAAATTTCATTCATAATCTTCTGTGTGTCAGTAGTTTGTTTCATGTTATTGCTGAATTGTCTTCTTTATGGACATACCACATTTCGTCTAACCATTCACAGTTGAAGGATTTTTGTTGGTTATAGGTTTTGGCTATTAGAAATCATGCTGCTATGAACATTGCATCTAAGTCTTTACTGTGGGCACATTTTTTTATTTCTCTAGTAGTAGAATTGCTGAATTGTGTTTCAGTTTTATGTTAAACTTACTGAGAAAATGCCAAAGTGTTTTCTAAGTTGTTGCACCATTTTACATTCCCATCAGCAGTGAGGGCTCTAACTTCTCTGCATCTTTACCAATGTTGTTCTTATTTAATACAGCTATTCTAGTGGGCTTGAAATGGTGTGTCATTGTGGTTTTAATTTCCATTTCCCTCATGACTAAGGATGTTGAACATCGTTTTCATGTGCTTATTAACTATTCATATATCTTTGGTGCAATGTCTGCTCATATTTTTTGCCCATTTTAAAATTTGGGTTGTTTGTCTTATTATTGAGTTGTAGGAGTTCTTTTTATATTCCTGCCTACAACTCCTTCATTAGATACCTGCTTTGCATGTATTTTCCTCTGTTTTTTTGCTTGTCTTTTCTTCCTGCCTGCCTTTTTTTTTTTTTTAGGTTTTTATTTATTTACTTGTCAGAGAGAGAGAGTGCCCGTGAGCACAAGCAGGAGGAATGGCAGGCAGTGAGAGAAGGAGGCTCCCCGCTGAGCGAGGAGCCCAGTACGGGACTCAATCCCAGGACCCTGGGATCATGACCTGAGCCAAAGGCAGATGCTTAACCGACTGAGCCACCCAGGCGTCCCGTCTTTTCATTTTTTAAAAGTATGTTTTGAAGTGCAGTAGTTTTTAATTTTGATAAGGTCCAGTGTATCATGCTTTCTGGTATAGAAATCTTTGCCCAACTCAAGCTCTTAAAGATTTTTCCCATGTGTTTTGTCCTAAAAATTTTACTGTTTTAACTCTTATATTTAAATTTGTCATCCATTTTGAGTTAATTTTGTGTTATTGCCTGAGGTGGAAGTTCATCTTTTTAAGCGTGCACCATTTTCCCCAGCAAAGTAAATTTTCGGTGTACAGTTCCTACATGCCTTTTGTTAAATTTGTTCCTACCTGTCTTCTTTTCTTATGCTGTTATGAATGGAATTGTATCCTTGGTTTGGTTTTGGGTTGTTTGTTGCTTGCTTATAGAAATACAGTTGATTTTTGTGTATTGATCTTATATTCTGCAAATTCACCATACTTACTTATTAGTCCCCATAGGTATGGGTAGATTCCTCAGGATATTCTGTATATAGGATCATGTCACTTGTGAATAAAGGGTTTTTCAATCTGGATGCCTTTTATTTCATTTTCTTGTCTAATTGTCTAGAAGCTCCAGCACAGTGTTAAATACAATAGACAAGAGCACACATCCTTGCCTTGTTCCTGCTCTTGAGGATAAAGTATTACTCTTTTACTTTTAAAGTATGATCATTGTAGGTTTTTCATAGATGTCCTTTATCAGGCTCACTTCTATTCTAAGTTTAAGAGTTTTGCCATGAATGGGGTTTGGATTTTGTTCAGTGCTTTTTCTGTGTTTATTGATGATTGTGTGGTTTTTATCTTTTATTCTGTGAATATAGTATGTTATATTAATTATTTTTTGGTTGTTAATCCACCCTTGCGTTCCAGGGATAAACTCTGCTTGGTCCTCTTGGAGTCGGTTAATATTTTTGTTGAAGAGTTTTGCATCTATATTCATGAAGGATTCTGTCATTTTCCTTTCTTTGCCTGACGTGTTATCATGGTGACATTGACCTTATAGTGTAGGTTGGGAAATGTACCACCCCCCTCTGTTTTCTGGAAGAGTTTGTAGAGTATTGGTATTATTTCTTTAAACATTTGATAAAATTCAACGGTGAAATTATTCTCGCCTGGGTGTTTACTAATGGGAAGATTTTTAATTACTAGCTCAATTTCTATTTACATCTTATGGGGTCAGGTTTTCCATTTCTTCTTGAGTCAATTTAGGTAATTTGTGACTTTCTAGGAATTTGTTCTAAGTTGTCACATTTGTTGGCCTAGAGTGGAAATGTCTTAAATAAAATCTCCCACCCACTTTCTCAATCTCTCCCTTCCATCTCTCCCATACATAAATGTACATATGTGCATATGTGTGTTTAGTAATTTAAGTTTTGTATGACCCCGAGCAAGTCAGGTGTTGAAATAGTTTAAGTGTGTGTTACACTTCTCAATTAAAAAGTATTGCTTTTGTAATTATTAATATTACTATTGATAATATTATTAACAACTAGACTTCAGTCCCCGTTTGTGGCTTATAGGTGGGTGAGATGAAGCCTTTAGGGTCTCACCTATACCTAAAACATTTGTCTCTAATAAGTACCTCAGCTAGAAAAAGTAAGGGATGTAGAGATGAGTCTCCCAAAGGTCTGATTCTTACTAGTTTTGTGTCTTGTCTCCCTGTAGATGTCTCCATTCCACACCCATCTCCTCCCCATTTCCTGAAATGCTTCTTTATGCTTATGGTTTTCTCTGTAATCTCCAGATTGTGCCATTTTTAAACTCTTAAGCATCAAGAAGTAGCAGATGTAATATATTATAATGTGCATGGTTGACAACCCCCAGCCTTATCACGTGTCCTGGAAGAAGAATACTGTGCTTGTTAATTCCCACAGTGTTGAAATACAATAAAAATAAGCTCGAAAGTTCATAATCTGTCCAAGGCAAAAAAAATGTAAGCACTTAGTTTTGTATGATAGAATTCCTATCTTCTTAAAATTAATTCTTGCTGTTCTTATATGTACTTAGTCCTTTAAGAAAAGCAAAGTTCAAACACAAAATGGTTTTCTCTGTCCCTGCATGAACTGCAAGAGATGTTTCTAATTTATCGTTCAGTAACTTGTACTAATTTCGGATTATTTACTAGTCATGTATGTGCCTTTCCTACTTCCCCATTCTAAAAGGTAATGTATTTTGTGATGCTCATCTGATTCTCTGAAAGTGACTTGTCATCTGTAAAATTAACCATGTGAAAATTAACTTATTTTGGACTCAGTAGTATGCCCTGATGACAACTCATTTGGGGCTTATTTTAATTTAGGGCTACCTGGCTGTGGTATTAGTATTAGGGAGGTAGACTGGGGAGAACTTCCTGTAAACATTGTGGTGAGCAGTGTTGTCTCTGCCTGTATTAAATAGAGTCAGATGTTGGGGACCTTGACAGTTTTTTCTTTAAAGGTGAAGAAGGCAGGATTTTTCCCCGTGGGTATTCGATTCTGTTTCTGGGTCTTTGTTCTCTTTCCTTTTTGGTTTTTGGGGATTCTGTTGATACATCCTCTAGCCCAGGGATTCTTCCCTCAGGTGGGTCCCGTTTACTAAGAAGCCCATCAAAGAGTTCTTCATTTTGGTAACAGAATTCTTTATCACTAGCATTTCTTTTCAGTTCTTAGGACTTCCATCTCTGCTCACATTGCCCACCTGTTCTTGGATGCTGTCTGCTTTCTCTTGTCAGAGCCTGTAGCACATTCACCAGAGTTGTGTTCAGTTCCCAGTCTGATGACGTGAATATCCCTGCCGTGTATGTCCCCGATGCTTGCTTTCTCTTCACATTGCGTTGTGTGACTGTTGGTATGCCTTGTAATTGTTTCGTGAGAGCCAGCGATGATGTGCCGGGTAAAAAGAACTGCTGTAAAGAGGCTTTCGGTCATGTGTTGGCGAGGTGTGTGGGGAGGGGCAGTGCTCTATGGTCCCATCTTTGGGGCTCGGTCTTTTAGGGAGCCCGTGCTTCCAGGCCTCCAACTTCACAAGGGCTTCTCATTTGTTTCCTCCCCCTTTTGGTGGGCCAGGATGGGTTGAATAGGCTGGAGTTGTCTATCTCCCTTCCCCAGCTCAGTCGGTCTCTGATGATAGCCCAGCAGGTTACGTTCTGGTTAACTAGTTTCCCCAGGGGGCAGGCTTGGTGAAGAACAGAGCGCTCTGGCCTGTTTCAGACTGGTTTCTTTTCCCTTCACCTTACTTAAGCCAGAGAAAATTTTTCTCTTGTATTTATTGTGGAACCTGGTTACGATCTCGGAGGTAAATCTCACAATATGGGGGTTTTAACTCTCAGGGCTGCCCATTCTAAGTTAATAAAGCAATTTGTCAATTACAGTTCAGGTTTCCTTATGTTTGCCATCCATATTAGGATGGTTTTTTTAGGAGTTTGGTTCTGTTTCTCTGTTGATTTGTTACTTTTTCCTAAATGCCTTTATTAGTGACCAGATTCCTAAAATATCTTTATTTTCAAAACTTTGTGTGTTTGTGCCATTCCTTCTTCTTAAGCACGTTCCTTGCTGTTCCCACACTCTGCAGGACCTGCTGACTTAACTTGATTTTCACCTCTTTGCCCATTTCTCTGCTGTCTCAGGCCAGGGAAGAAAGAATTGTTTCTGAAATAGTTTAATAAAGAGCAGCCATGTGGCTACTTACTATTCTCTATTCTTACAAACCTTCTCCCTTTCTTGATATGAGTCTCATTTGGTTGCAAAGGCACTTACTCTGGAGTTGAGTTGTGTCACAGATTCTAGCCACAATCATCTTGGGTTTTGTATCTTTGGGTGAGCATTTCACCTCTTTGAGCCTTAATTATCTGTTACTTAAATGGTAATTTAAAACTTCTTTTCCAAAATACCAGTGAGAATTCAGTAAAAGTGTATATGGAATACTTCTAACATAGCGCCTGGCATAGGACAAGTGCTCAGTAAATGTTTCACAAATGTTAACATTGAGCCATTTCCTTTTGGTTCCATCACTTTAATTGAGATCCAGACCTTTGAAGCTGGGCCCTAGAATTCTGTGGAGAAATCCAAGCTGGGTATCTTTTTGTAGCTGCCATTAAACTCCAGAGCAGACATTCATTACATCTCATGAAGTTAACAGACAGTTCATGCTGGGTGACTTTTCTCATGGATTCTGAGTTGTTGTTCATCTGTGCTCTTTGTGGTTTATTTTGGTTTTTCTTACCTACTTTGCCTTTTTGTTTAAAAGGAGTGGGGTAAAATAACACACAAAAGTTGTTTTTTTTTAATAGTGTGAAGTTAAGAAAAAACTACCGTTGTAAAAAAGTAAGAATATTGAATATATATTCTCATGATATGTTTTTACTCTATTTTACATTTTGATAAGCTCTTTGGTCTTAGACCTCTATTTTATCTGTGTTGAGATTCACAATTATTACTCCCTTGTCATCAATTCAGTCATCAGTATCCGTGGCATGAAAGTTGTTGCTACTGCAATCATTTCAGGCTCTGTCCCAAAAGAAGGTGTTAAGAGCTGCCTATTCCGGATGCAGATCTTGAAAACCTTCCATTGCAAAGCATATGTCCTTTTTTCCTACTCCTTATGTCTCTTCCTCAGCCTAGGGTGCCTTAGTGATTTTTCAGATTTCTGTTTAGTGGCAGAACCATTCCTTCAAAGCTTTTTGGGAAGCTCTAAACAGACCAATCTGGATACTCTTGATTTTTTTTTTTTTTCCTTTTTTAAGGACGGGTTTCCGATAGGAATGGGATTATTCTACTCAGAGCTCAGAGCAGAAAACGACTTGCGGTCTCTGTGCATTGTGTGTTTTCAGATTCCTGGTGCTCAGGTGTTGGGTCACAGGGCAGGCACTTTCCCCATCATTTTCCTTACTAAGGGCTGTGTTAACCATTGCTCCGTTATTGCTAGTGGTCCCCTATCAGTGGGTCCAAGCACTTCCCCTCTCAGTCTTTGTGCAGAAGTTTCTTTCCGTCTTGGTGAGTTGGCCTTATAAAAACTGTGGCACTAATAGAATCAGATCTTAACACAAAAGCAATAGAATTGAAACAAAATCAGAAATGATGCAGGCTTTCATGTGTGAGATGCTTTTTCCCTCTCTTGAACAGAATTCCTTAAGAATGAGTCTTGAGTTGTCTTGTTCTGTAACCAACAGGAGGCCTCACCAATGGCAGTGGGAGATACATCTCTGCCGCGCCAGGCGCTGAAGCCAAGTACCGCAGTGCGAGCAGTGCCTCCAGCCTCTTCAGCCCCAGCAGCACCCTGTTTTCTTCCTCCCGGTTGCGATATGGAATGTCTGACGTCATGCCCTCTGGCAGGAGCAGGCTTTTGGAGGATTTCCGAAATAATCGGTACCCCAATTTACAACTGCGGGAGATCGCTGGGCATATAATGGAGTTTTCCCAAGACCAGCATGGGTCCAGGTGAGGACTTGGCTTTGGCACTTAAGGTAACTGAAATCTTAATGCCTTAAATTCCATGCCTCAGATAAGGTATACACTAAGTAAATAGCCATGAAGTAATTGAAACAAAGTTTGCCTCTTAGTATGCTTCCTATTATTTATTTCAGAGGGATGTGGGGATATGAAGATCATCAGATACACAGGTGATTGAAAAGAGCC